CTTCCTTCCTTCCTTCCTTCCTTCCTTCCTTCCTTCCTTCCTTCCTTTCTCCTAATTCAATCAGATTCGAGTTGAGAGGGCTGTAATAGGGAGAGCTTAGAACATTTGCAGTACTGGATCACAATATACATAACATTATCTGTAGGATAAGTAGGTATGGAAGTCAAAAAATGGCTTATTGAAGCCGGGCAGTGGTGGCGCATGCCTTTGATCCCAGCACTTGGGAGGCAGAGGCAGGCGGATTTCTGAGTTCGAGGCCAGCCTGGTCTACAGAGTGAGTTCCAGGACAGCCAGAACTACACAGAGAAACCCTGTCTCGAAAAAAAAAAAAAAAAAGGCTTATTGAAAAAAAGTGGGGAAATATATTTAAATTTTTTCTAAAGAAAAAGATTTATTTAATGTGTGTGTGTGTGTGTGTGTGTGTGTGTGTGTGTGTACCGTATATGTGCAGGTACCTTCTGAGGCCAGAAGTATCAGATCTCCTGAACTGGAGTCCTGATGTGGATGTTGGGAACTGAGCCCCATTCATCTGGAAGATCAGCAAGTGCTCGTAAGCTCTGAGCCAATTCTCCATTCCCCCTTTGACTATTAAAATTCTTTTAATTTATGTATATGTATGTTAGGTGTACGTGTGCCCAGATGAATGCAGAGGCCAGAAGAGGGCAACTGATCCCGAGACTGAAGTTATAGAGGTTGTGAGCTCTACCACCAACTTCCACGTGGGTGTAAGAGCAGTAAGTATTTTTAACCCCAAAGTCGTCTTTTAAACCCCATATTTAAAATTTTCAAGGCCAAGGCCAAAAGCAATGAACATAAGAAAAGGAAGTATTTTTATTGCTATTTCCAAAACCATACCCCCTCCCCAAGGATCTGATCAAATTTTGATATACTTTTGTGAAATGCTTTAAGTAACTGAATATCAGCTTTCTTTTCTGATTACGTTTTATAGCATTTAGTACGACTTAAGCTTTAAAGGGCTCAGAGCCAGCCTGAGACCTTCCAGTAACCATACAGTCACTCATCTCTCCTGGGCGGTCCCCGACCACGCCCATTGTCCTTACCACGCCCACTCAAATTCCCCCCCCCCCCCCCGCCCCGTACCTGTAACTACAGATGCTCATTGGTGAAGAAGTTGTTCTGGTCCCACCCCAGGGGCCAGTAATAGGCTGGTCCAGCGTGGGGCGGTGCTGTTTGGCTGCTTGGGTACGGGTCCTTGGTGGTGCCTGTCAGAGAGGCTGGCGGCAGTGGCGGCTGTCCGGGCTGGGTTGTCAGTCAGAGGAGGGAAGATGGCTCGCCCAAACTCGTGCTGCTAGTAGGAAAGGGGCAGGTGGCGCGGCTGCTGGTGGAGCGCAGTCGCCCGGTCGCCGTGGTCGTGAGGGGAGGCCGCGGTGGGTCCCGGAGCTGCTCAGGTGAGTCCGCCGCGAGCCGCACGCCTGCCCCTGGGGCGCCGGGAGACCGAGAACTTTCTTTGGTCTGGGAGGAGCGGGACTGAGGCAGTTGCCGGCGGCGGGTAGGACTTCGTCCTGGGGCGGCGGCCCGTTGGGGGTAACGGCTCCCGCGCGAGGCGCGGCCCGAGAACCCGAAATTGGCCGCGGCTGGCTGCCTGCTGTGGACGAGGCTCGGTTCCCGGTTGGGCGGTAAGCTGGGGGCGCCCCAGGGTCGGCCTAGCACAGAGCCCACCGTAGCCTATGGCCACTGCCCACCGGTCTGCGCCGCCCAGAGTTCGGCCCCGCGGCCCACGAGGGCTCCGCAGACCCGGTGCTCTTCTGAGCCGTGCTCGCCCAGGTCTTGAATCCCGTGGGGCTGGGAGTTCGAAGTGCCAGACCGGTCTGTCCATCCCCAGGAGAGCTCCTCTTCTGCCTGCACCGCGCTGGACCCTGGAGTTCTGCCTTTTCTGAGGCTGCTGTGACCGCCCTCAAAAGATCCTCAGGGCTTTCTTTCCACTGAACGGTTTTTTGTTTGTTTTTTGTAGGCTTCTTTCTTTCTTTTTTCTTTTTGCACGAAAACACCTCAGGTTTTGCACGTTTCGGCAAAACTGGGTCCCTGCCCTGCAGCGTTACATGTGTTTGCTTTGTACCTTTTAGAGTTTAGAGGTTCCTGAAGGATTTAAATTTGGCCCTAGTGGTTTTGCACTGCACTGAATCGCTTATGGGATAAAACGCTATTGCACGCCGGCAGCGACTCCGCTGCTCAGGTAGGGGGAGTGCTGCTGCTACAGAGACTGCTACTGGCTGCATGCAGGGTAACACTGGCTCTCTGTAAAGTGGATGTCCTTTGGGTAACACCTTAGGTTTTGCAGATGTGCCAGCCCTGTGGTTCATGCCACGGGTTGCAGTTTGAGGTTTTCAGTTGTTACAACTTTTATCTACATAAAGCCAGAAAGATTAGGGTAACCTTGAAACAGTGCGATAGTTCTGGGAGGTGTGTTTTCCTAAGACTACTCTGTTGCCAACGGCACCAGCCTCTCCCTACCCCCCACCTCTATCATTTGTGAGCACTTTTCCCCTTTAGGTGAATACATTTTAAGGTTTACAGGACGAATCTTTGTACTACGTTTTGAAGTACAGGGAAGGACAAGAATGAAAAAAGGCTTCTTTGGCAGGAGTAGCATCAAAGTCAAGTATTCAGATAATATCACTTTAGTAGCAAGGGGGAAGCCCTGCATGTATTTAGGAAACAGATTCTACAGTTGACTCATTTTACAGTCATTTGATTTATTAACATTACTTCCAGAAGCAGATTAGAAATCCTGTTAATAATCAGTAGCAACAGTCTCTGGATATGAATGCTGGGTGGGGAATGGATTGGGTCAGCACACAGTTCCTGTTGTCTTTCCTTTTGAAAAATTAAGAAAAATAAAAGGTAGGTGTGTGTGTGTGTGTTTGCGTGTGCGTGTGCATGTAATTGCAATGGCACCAAGCTCCATTGGTTTTCTCCCTCCTTGTGGGTGCCTATTCTGTCAGGTCATCAGGCTTGGAGCCAAGTGCTTTTTACCATTTGAGCTATCTCGAAGGACCCTGCTTTTCTCTTTCTATTTTTTTTGTTTGTTTTGATTCTTCTATTTTATAAAATTCCTTTTAGTTGCATTGTGAAAGAATGGTGTAATTTTGACAATAAGTTTAAATATATCTTCTAGTTTGCTCTTATTCAGCATCCTGTTGCTTATTATTTATCTTGTAATCAAGCCTAAGAAATCTTCTTGGGTGACTTGTAAGAGTGTCGCTCAGGACCAGTCATCAGACTACTTGAGGCAATAGAGATGTGTGAGCGAAGCTTTTCAAGAAAATGGAAGGAAAGAAAGGAGAAAATGCTCGTTATGGAATAGCATTTCTCCATCTTGGCCACACATATATAATCTTTTGCAGAACTTAAAATTTTTACTCTCAGAAGGAATCTTCCCTCCCCCTTTCCAACGAAGGCAGGATAGGACCTACACAACAGTATTTATTTAAACAAGAACTTTCTGAAGTATAATTGGCATATAATAAACCACACATATTTCTATTATGCCACTTAATGCTTAATATGTTTATATTTATAAAATCATTACCACAATTAAAGTAACGAACCCGTACATTACCTCCTAAAATTTGTTTGTATCATTTGTAATGCTTCCCTCTGATTCCCAGGGAACACTTACTTTTTGTTGGTATACGATGCTTATCTGTAGAAGTTTATGTTTTTAAAAATATTATTGATTTTGTAGGTATTTTTAATGTGTGAACATGGTTGAAAAAAAACACTTGAGGGGCTGGAGCACTGGCTCAGCTATTAGAGCACTTGTTCTTGCAGAGGACTCTGGTTTGGTTCCTAGCACCCACATGGTTGCTATTCACAACCATTCTTAACTCCAATTCTAGGAGATTTGATGCCTTCTTCTGACCTTCAGAGGCAACAAGCACTCGTGTAGTTTACACACACATATGCAGACAAAACACTCAAACATGTAAAATAAATCTTATAAAAAGTTCAGCACAGTAAAGCATAGGTTGAAAGAATTTAATGTTTGTTTGTGCATGCATGAAGAAAGAGCAGAGTCAAGGTAAAACATTTGGGGGCGGGTATGAGGTGATTATTCACACTTAGTCCTTGGGGAGCTGGAGAGAAAGTTGACCAGTAAGAAATACATTTCCGAAAGCAACATCTCTTAACAAGGAACAAGATAATAAAGACAGTGTATTTCTTTGTTATAATTGTCAGTTATTAGTAGTACTAAGATTGGTTTTCTACAGTGCCTTTTAAAGGTCCTTAAAAAAGTTAAGAGAGCATCATAATATTGTGAGAACAGACATCCTTCAGAAGAACACCTTCTGTGGAGCCTGAGACCCTTAGCATTGCTATGGAATGCTTTATTGGTTTTTTGGGGGGTGAGTGAGAATTAATAGTTTGTTGCTTCTTTTTGAAATGCAAGTGCTGCCAGGCCACCCTTTTAGTCCTTCTGAGTTAGGCTGCCTATCTGAATGGAGGAAGGACATTTAGCAATTGAAAATCCTGTTTAAATTGATTATAGGGTGCTTAGCCCCAGTTAATGCATCTCAACACAACTTCTACACCTATGGCTCAGAGAACATCATGGAAGAGGGGGTGGAAAGATTGCTAGGAGTCAGAGGACAGAGCTGGAATGTCTTCTATATATGACAGGAATTTCATGTATGTACCAGGAAATCGCAACAATGTGGTTTCCTAAACCAGACCAAAAAATAACTGTACCAGTATACATGTCAATGGGAGGGGGAAATTCTCAAGAGGTTTCTTCCATGAAAGAAGAGCTGCAGGCATTAGTGGGTGTTTGAGGGAGGAAGAATCCATTTTCTCCTGTGGTGGGCTAGACAATCCCAAGAAGTCAGTCCTAAGTGCACAAGAAGCCTTTAGGACTACACAGCCAAATGTTCAAATTTTTCACTTATGATCTGCTTTTAAAATGCTCTTTTGTCCTTTATTTTTTTTTTGAGGCGAGATATTAAATCTGATCATTCCTATTTTAGAGTTAAAAATTTACACTCAGATGTTAAGTTTCACTTAAAGTTGAGAATAGGGAGTTTAAACCCAATTTTCATTTATAATCACAGCTTCTATTGTTTCTGTGTTATGTATGTTCCTGTAGGCTAGATGTCAACTTTGGTTGGCTTCTTTAGTCATTCTTTTTTGAGTCAAGGTCTCTTGATGAACTTACTGCTAGTCAATTAGGGTAGAATAGCTGGCCAGCAAAGCCCTGAGATTCTCCTGTCTCCACCTCCAGCACTGAGATCTCAGGCATGCCAGTCTTTACTTGGGTGTTCTGGAGATAAACTCAGGTCCTCATCCTTGTGTGGTAAGCACTTGGCCCTCTGAGTCATCTCCCCAGTCCCTGTGTGTTACATCAGTTCCCTAGCATGTTCCTCACTGGACACCTTTTGCTTTTCTTATTACTAAAAAATAGATATAATCACTATGTGAAATCTTATTGTTTCTCTTGTTTGTATAATTGTATTTTTGGTACCCCCATCATAATTATTCCTGGTCACTTCTGTGTTGATATCGTCTCTTCTGCTACTTTTAATGAGTATTGCCTAATATACTGATAGTAGTAGATGACTCTGAAGTGGGTGAGGTGAGATGAGAAGCATAAGATTGATATGTGTAAAACATATACAATATGTTTAACGGTTTAAAACATGTGTCCAGACTAAAATAAAACTTAAGACCCAGACTTGTTGGGTCCTAAGAGTAATTTGTAGTCCCAAGTCCTGCTTGTATGTTGTATGTTATTAAGAATGTTTCTGTAAAAGTCTTGTACATAAGGGATCTATGAACTTGGAAAACATAGTGCTTTCTAACTGTAGTCCAAATGTCTGTTCTTGTAGAGCTTTGTGTCAGGGAAGCATTCAGTAGTAAATGTTAAGTTTGTTTGGTGTTTTCTTGAACAATGAATCTTTTGATTACTTGATGAGCATTTTTAGTTTCTCATTCTAATGCTAAGAATTTATCCAGTTATTTGTATTTGACTTAATAAACACAGTGTGTATGAGTTCTTAAATTTATACTATGAAAATCATGTTGAGTTTCAGCTATTGCAAGATTTGTATTTATTTTTGTTTATGTCTGTGTAAGGGCCAGGCACTATGATAAATGTCTGTAGTCAGTCTCAGCTAGTCTGGAGGCTGAAGTGGGAGCTAGTAACTGAGCCTATCAGAGCAGCCTGGGCAACATACTGATGCCCTGTCTTAAAACAAAAAGAATAGAACGATGTAATGTGTAGGCTAGGAAATTTAGGAGAAGAATGTAAGCTTTAAAAGTGCTTAAGCTGGGCAAACAATTATGAACTTTTTAACTCCCCCCACCTTTTGAAATATAAATTGTTTAGACTGTTGATTCTGATCAGTATCCACAGATTGTCTATCTCCATCTGCTATAGAAAGTTGCCACTTGG